CAGGGAAAGGATTCTCTGCAGGAATTCATTTATAAAGTGACATCATCCTTATTTGCTTTAGAATTTCTGATTTGCACCACATTGGGTTCAACCTCTTCTCATTACTAACCTGCAGGACCACTGCAGGGTTTTGCGTTATCATTCATTGCATTGAGTGTACACTGTGTCCCTCTCTGTACCCAGCCCCAGAACTACGTTGTCCCTTTATTTCTCAAATTATGAACAACAATTGCAAGGCTATCACTTCCAGCTAAGGTCATCTGTATGTCTCATAATAAATCAAATCTTCATGTATTTATTCTTTTGCATTGCATAGGAAAGATACACAAAACTGTGAAATATGGTGCTTAGTCTCCAGGAACCTACCATTAGATAAAAGATTAAAGAAAGACCCGATGGGTGAAATAGATGCTAGCATTTGTGAGAAACACGATGACCATATGTGAAGGCCAACTCTTGGAGTTGGATGGTGTTGAGGTTGTATAGCATGACACCGATGAAGCTGACCTACACAGAGAGGTAGATCTATCTGAGGACACCGGGTGTGTGCATGTCATGATTCAGAGACAGCTAAGGTGGAGAGTAGATGGTATTGTCAGGAAACCACTGGGGGTGGAGCCTCTCTGTCTCTCTCCTTCCCTCCCTCTCTCTTTCTCTCACACTCACTCATGGAAGAAATAAATAAAACTTAAAAAAAAATATTTTGAGAACTGTCTCCTGTGGTCCATATTCTGCTGAGTTACCAGTATAACACAAAAAGCAGAATATTACAAATAGGTCTGGCTCAGAAAATCTGGGGCTGAAAGTAGCCATAGAAATTCTTGGGACCAGCAGTTAGCATAATGGCTATGTCGCTGGACTCCCATGCAGTCAGCCACAGTTCAAGTCCTGGACTCGGTGGCTTAAACTTACACCGGTCAAGTGTGCGTGCGTACCCAAGATCCCAAGAGGAGAATGGAGGAGAAGGGATTGCGGTGTGGCCATCTCCCCTGGGGGGTGATTTCTTACTTTCTGTCTCTCTGTCTCTTTCTTTCTGGCAAGCACACATACCCTAAAAGCTCAAAAAAAATTATTTTGGGGTGATTAAGGACAAGAATCCACCCATGCCATTCCATTTGGTAATTTATGAAATTCTTGGATTTAAGGGGACCATACTTACTTAGTTGTTTGTGGTAACACTCCGCATCTTTAAATTGATATAATTTTTCCAATCGTTTTCCCAAGTGTTTGACTTGACTATCTTTCTTGAAAGTTCTGTATCTCATTAATGGAAAAAATTAATTCATTTAAATTAATGCATATTTCCAAGAAATTTTATATCTCTCCTTAAGATGAACTGGAGATGTTCTGATATTCTGTAAAGCTCAATGAATGGAAGTTGAAGTGTGCCTTTTGAGTGCCATCTTACTGGAATTGCACTGGTGTTACTGACGAGAGTTAAACCTGAAATGACTTGGCTTCCTATTCCGTGTTCTCCCTTAAATACATTTTTATAAAGAAGTTGTTAATCAATAATTTTGCTTTTAGAATTTTTTTGTTTTCGAGAGGTTTTTGTTATTAGGGCTCATGCGCTCACCAGAAAGACAGAAAGAGACAGAGACAGAAAGCGAGAAATCATCCCCCAGGGGGAATGGCCACACTGCAAACTCTTCTCCTCCATTCTCTTCTGGGGACCCTGGGCACACATGCATATGCGCACGGTGTGATTCTAAGCCACCAGGTTGGGATTCAAACTGCGATCGACTACATGGAAGTCCAATGACATAACCATTACGCCAACTGCTGGCCCCTAGAGAAAGGATTTTCATCAATTTAAATAACATAATGAGTTAGAACTATAAACAGTAACTTGGGAACTTCAGGTATCTTTCCCTTTGAAAATACAGACATTTAAGTACTGTGACACAGAAGTACTTTAATTGTGAGGGCCAGCACAGGATGCTCATCTTGCTAGTCACCCAGAAACTCCCTAGACTTTATTCTTTTTCAAAGTCCAGACATATCTGAAAGACACATCTTCTCGAGTACAAACATGTTTGAAAGACATGTTTCCACAAGTCCAGACATGTCTAAAGGGCAGGGAGGCATGTTTCTTTGCTATCATTTCATGGGAGAAGTTGAGAGAAAGGAAGAAAGAAAAATTATCCATTTTTGTAGTTTTGGGGCATGGACTAGGTATTTATAGGTACATAGTCCTCAGTAGTGGGCCTTCCATTTTTTTTTGTGGGTGTCTCCAGGGGGTATGCTGCCTTCAAAGTTACTCTTGGACATCTGTGACCCAGCAATTAAGCACTATGTGAAAGGGCACAGGGCTCAGATAGCAGCTGTTTTAATGCCATCTGTGCCTCCACGAAAGGCAATTACTTCCTTAGCACTGTGGACATTGGACATACCTGTTAGATCATGATCTAGAGAAGGAAATTGTAGATAATAATTAACGTATCTTCCATGCTTTGATGACGAATCTCAACTGATAATGTTCATTATCTTGTAATAGGCTGTGAAGTGTGTAGGATCATAGAATTTTACTTTTAACTTTTTATTCTTAAAAAAAAAAATTTAGACATTTTTGGTATAAGGCACATGTGCTCGCCAGAGAGACAGAGAAGGAAAAAGCAAGAATTCACCCCCCAGGGGAATGGCCACGTCACAATCCCTTCTCCTCCATTCTTCTCTTGGGATTTTGGGTTTACATGCACACATGGCCAGCGTGAGTTTTAAACTTCTGGGTCTGGGACTCAAACCACAGTTGACTAAGTGGGAGTCTAGTGATGTAACTATTTACACCATCTGCTGGTCCCATTATTCTGTTTTGGGGGGAAGGAAGAGGATTTTGCTTTAGGGCGCATGCCCTCACCAGAAAGAAAGAGACAGAAAGCAAGAATCACCCCCAGGGGGGATGGCCGTGCTTCAATCCCTCCTCTTTCATTCTCCTCTCGGGATCATGGACATGTATGCACACACGCCTGATGTGAGTTTAAGCCACTGGGTCCAGAAATCAAACTGTGGTGGACTACATGGGAGTCCAGCGACATAGCCATTACACCAACTGCAGGTCCCAGTTCCATTATTCTTAAAATGAGTTTAAATGCGTATAAAAATAGAATGAACTTCATGCAACTTAATTCTCAAAGTCATTCAGCTTCAAAAATTGGCAATGAGTACCACCCCCCGGCCAAGCGCGACTTATCTGTATCTTCACTCACTTTCTCCATTCTTGTAGTTTCTAGCACCATAGATTCATTTGGCCTCTTCTTGAATTTTATATAAATGGAATTGGACAGAGTATGCGCTTTCATGATGGCCTTTCTTGCTCAGTGTATCTGAGATTCACCCACGTTGCATGTATCAGTAGTTGGTCCTTCCCTCCTTGCCTCCCTCCTTTTTCCCTTCCCTTCCCTTCCCTCCCTCCCTCCCTCCCTCCCTTCCTTCCTTCCTTCCTTCCTTCCTTCCTTCCTTCCTTCCTTCCTTATTAGAAGGCTGTCAGCCTGAGCCTCCTGCTTCCCACCTCTACATCTTCCAAGCATCTCTTCTCGTCTCCTCCTCTTCCTACTTTCCGAACCCAGTCCTGAGCTCATCCCCTTCAGCTTTCTCAGATCACCTCTCCTTGGAGCATCTTCACTCTCTCCCTCATTTTTCAACACTCCTCCTGTGCTTCCAAAAATGTCTTCATTCCAGCCATCTTTCTTTTTCCTTTCTTTTTAGTTTTTTTACCTATCATCTCTTCAAACAACCCTACTTTCCCTGAAAGGTTCCATCTACATCCTTGTCCTCACTACTACCAGCTCGCTCTAAGTAGTCCCCTATGCCCAGGGCCTAGGACCCTGAGTTAATAGTTCTCTCTTCAGCCCCTTGTCCAACCTCTATTCCCTTCACACTGTGGAAACTGCTAACACAGGTCTCCAGAATCTATCTGATCACAAGCCTAGGGAGCTATTCTTGCCTTCTATTTCCTTTGCCTCTTTAGAGTGACTAACTACTTTTCCTCCTGGTTAGATGAATAGCAATTATTGGTTTTTTGTTTGTTTGTTTGTTTTTTAATAATGAAAGTATCCCATGTAGTTAAAGGCACCAGAACCTGGAGCCAGCCTGCCAGGTTTAGAGAACTGGCTCCTCCAAGTACCTTTTCTCTGACCTTGGCTATGTTCTAAGTGGCTGCCTCCCTCAGTTCCTTTAATTCTAAACTAGGAAGAACAATAGTAACAACCTCATAGCATTATTGAGGATTAAATAAGTTAATATCTGGAAAAGCTTAGAACAATGCTTGCCAAGTATAGGTGCTATATAAGTATTAGCAATAAATACCAAAAAAAAACACAAAAAACAAACAAACAAAAAAAACTAAAAAAAGTTACAGACTACAAGAAAACATTGAAAAAAATCATTAAGAAGCCCTAAAATCCTAACCACCCAGTAGTGGCTGGAATTTTTTTTCTTTTTTTTTTTTTTTTTTTTTTTTGTGTATTCACTTAGTATATTTCTGGGCATAAGATGTTTATAACTAAACAGATTGATCCGGCATTTCTTGTCCTTCCCCCCTAATACTCATCCTCTTCCCCTGGCTTTTGTGAAGGTGTTGCCCATCCAGGGACACCCTCCACCCCCTTATGGTTCTCTGAAGCTGCTCTGCTTGTCTCTGTGCATGTAAGGAAGGCCCAAGGGTACTTCTGTGTGTTACTTCTTGCTGTCCTTAGGAAGTCACCAGCTCTCTGTGGGTGATTACCTCCTGTTCAGACCCAAGAATGAAGTCTTGTTAATTCTTTTGCATATCTCTTTTCATCCAGCTTCTCTTTTTTTCTTTCTTTCTTTTTTTTTAGTATTCTAGTGACTTTCATCTGTTTGCAATCTTTTTTTTTAAACAATTATTTAATTTAATTTATTTATTTATGTTTTAATTTGACCAGAGAAGGACAGAGTAAGAGAGGAGAGAGAGGGGCTAGGGGGGTGGGGTGGGTGAGAAAGCAAGCCACCAGGTCTGGGACTCGAACCACGGTTGGCCATGTGAGAGTCCAGTGCCCTTACCTACCACATCACCTGCTGGCATCTCTGTTTACAATATTATACTCTAACTCATCATGACTGTGATGATGATGGGATGGTGACAGATAACACTAGGTGGTTTCTGTGTGCTGGCTCTTTTCTATATTATTTCATATAATAAATTTTGTGTGGTAGGAACTTTTCCCATCTCATTTAACAGAGAACCTGCAGATTCAGGGAAAGTAAATGACTTCTTCAATATCAAACAACACTAAGTGACAGAGTCTGGATTTGAACCCAGTTCCTTCTTATTCCAAAGCCTGACCATGTTGCCTGCTTCTAGACCTTCCATGGCAATAGGCTACTTTTTCTTTCTCTGTCTCCCACTTCTATTTTTTCTTATGTATGGTTGCATAATCATTTTTCTGTCAACACTCCCATATGCCTTTTACTTCAGCTCAGGATTTTTTTTTTTTAATTGCTAAAGGGCATATACACTCATCAGAGAGAAAGGGAGAGACAGTCCCCCTCTCTCCAGTGGGGTAGACTCACACCATAATTATTTTTCCTCCATTTCTCCATCTCGTCACAATTTGGGGCACGCATATACACCCAAATGTTCTTCAAGACTTTGGGGACAGTATTTGAACAGTGGTCGACCAAGTGGAATCAGACTTCTAATGCACAGCACTTAACCACTGCACTGCAGGGGCAAGACTTACTCAGAAATCTTTGGTGTCTTTCTTTTCACACATGAAAGCTTTGCTCTTCTCTCTACTGCCCTCCTCAATGACCATTCTGAAACTCTCCCCTCCGAATCACTTCTACCTAGTTGGTTCCTACTCTTGGAGGATTAATTCATGTAAGACCTGTACCCCTCATCTGTCTTTTCTCCCTGCTCAAGCCGTCATCAACCTTCCCCTGGTTCCTGCCTGCAGCATATTTTATTGGCCCCCTTAACACTTGTTACTTATATTCAGGACTTAGTTCATCCTGCTAGAACCACAAGCTCTATAACCCCCACTTCAGGAGCCCACACTCATTGCTGTTGGTGCTGCCTTGCCCTAGCTGATGTGTGTATGTGTTTGTGAACTGCACAGACTCAGTCCTTTCTCAGCCTCTTGCTCCTCTGAATTCATAGCTCCCGCCCTTTCGAGTAGCTGGCACTGTCCAAAGCAAGGGAATGCCATCTTTGCCTCTTAATCTAAAAGAGATGCAGCAGCATCTGCCTGTTGCCTTATTTCCAACTCTCCCAGTAAGTAGTTGGGTTTTCAGTTTTGTTTTGTTTCCCTTTGGGCAAGTGAGTGAGCCTCAACCTGCTTAGCACTATTAGAAACCATGCTCTCTGCTCAGTATGGATCAGATGCTAGTCCTTTAAGACCAGAATTCAAAATATCTCTATTCTTTTGCCTTGTCAGCCCCCCAGGAGTGGGGGTAGGAGAGCTACACAGCGGACAGCATCCAGGATAAGGATTCCCTCCAGCCTTGCTCAGCCAGGAGAGGTAGTAGCGTATTGAAGGCAGGCTATTCAGGGAAGCTGGTGGAAAGACTCCTAATTAGTCACATAGATGGAAAGAAAGGTACAGGCTTTCTGGGTTTAGATATCAAAGGCCTCAGGCCTCGTCATCACTGGTAAGAGGTGGAGCCTTCAACCTGGGCATTTGGATTGTTCTGCCTCCTTCCTTAGACACATTGGTCCCTTTCCAGAAATAACCTCGTTAAGGCAGAGGGTCTTTGTCTTTGTATCCCCCATTTTCAGCTTAGTCTTAGGATAATCCTAAGAATCTGGATCCAGCTTGGTTAAATAGACCGGCTATTCATTTATGATACTTGATGACTGGATCCTCTGTTTAAAAACTCTAATTCAGACATCACCTCCTTCTATCCAGTGGTGATTTGATTCAGTAGATCTGAGTGGAATCAAACAATTTGCATTTCTAAGTTGGGGGGGAAGGGGGCAGAGGGAGGCTGAGGTTCCTGCTGGCTGGGATAGAGATCACACTGGGGACCCAATGCCCAGAGGACGTCTCACAGAATTCACTCCCACTCTGCAGGCTTTCTTTTCCCAAGTGCTTTGCACCTTGGAGTGCACTGAAATTGCATTCTGGATATGTCCTTATGTGGTTTGGAAATCTCTCACGTCGCAGGATTGCTTTCCTCCAAAGCAATTTTTTCCTCTAAAGCAATTTTAGGTAGGGTCTTAATCTTTTGCTTCTCTCATCATTGCCCTTCCTCTACCGGCCTCCTCTGAAAGCGTCTGAGGTCCACTGAAGGGGTGGGTCGTGGAGCAACAGCTAGGCACACCAGGTTTAATAGGGCACTTATTAACCAGGCATCCCTCAGGGCTTCAGTGTCCTCATTTGGAAAATGGCTTAATAACGTAGGTTGATCATCCCTAATCCAAAAACTCAAAGTCCAGAATGCTCCAAAATCTGAAACATTGATGTGAAGCCACACGTGGAAAGTTCCATGTCTGACCTCATGTGACAAGTCAGGATCAGAATCCTACAATACAAAAACATTGAATAAAATTACCTTCAGGCTATGTACATAAAATATATATATGAAACATAAATGAATTTTATGTTTAAACTTGGCCCCCCTTCCCGAGATACCTCACTTTGTGTCAGCAGATATTCCAAAATCTAAAAAACAGTCCAAAATCTCAACATTTATGTTCCCAAGCATTTCAGAGAAGGGAACAGGAAGAAATAGTTTTGTTGTATAACCTTTGGACTGTTTAAAGTTTTTACTATATACATATGTTCTTTTAAGACTTGAAAACTATTTAAATAATAGTAATCTTTTTTTCAAAGATGTTGAGAGGAATAAATAAATATTTAACCTATACTAACTTTACCTTGATGTCCAGGATATGTTAGTTAAAATATCGGGTTGTCAGAAAAGCCATGACCTATTTTTTTTTTCATGTGTTTCTATGCAAAAAATGTGTCATGACTCTTCCATCAACCCAATAAAAACAGAGACAGAGCCATCCATGTAATGTGCTCCCATTTATATTATTTCTTTCTTTATGATAGAGCATATGTGCTTACATGAGAGAAAAAGAGATAAGCACCCTCCACAGGGTCTGGTCATGCCCTTTCTCCAGTTACCCAACCTGTAGGATCTTAGTTACTTGTACATGTGCCCAGCGTGTTTTTCAGGTTGACCGAGCTGAGGATTTGAACCAAGGTCATGTTGTGGGATCCAGCTTTTCTTGAGCAGCTCTTTACCATTGCACCATGGAGCTAGCCCAGTATTTAAAAAGACAGATACATGCATAATCATGCCTGGAATACAGACATATATATGTGATGTCTTCAGAAGGAAATGTGAGAAACTGATAACAGCGATTGCCTGGGAAAGTCTACAGAGCGAGGAGAGCTAGTTTATGGTGTATGCCCTTTGGACTATTTCAGATTTTTACTGTATGCATATGTTCTCTTAAAGTTTGAGAACTAATGAAATAGTAGTGGTCTTTTTTCAGGGAGGTTGTGAACAATAAATATAATAACTTTACGTCAAGCCCTTAGTATATGGCTGGTACAGAAAAAGTGCTCTGTAAATGTTAGCTTTTATTTTCCATATCAAACAGTTGTTGCATTCATTCATTCACTCACAGGTAGTCATGAGCTATCCTAAGCCAGTTGTGTAACTATAAACAAATCTCTTCTCATCAGTCTTGCCACAGTAGGTAGAGAGTAAAACTTGTTTGTCAACGTCATTCTCAGTGTTGACTATAAACACACATCTCGCTCTGCACTGCTAGATCTTGGCCTACCACAACCCAGCAGGGGCTGAGTCCTATACTTCTGTGGGTCATCCTCAGAAGGCTGCTCCGCATGGGCCCGGCTTCACACAGTTGAAATGCCTGTCTGGGGCACAGTATGAGGGTGCATGGCAACATGGCCCTTAGAAACTGGCCATCACCCCAGTTGCCACCCCATGCTGGAGGTGAAAGTTCACCGCATCAACAACTGGCTCTAATCAAGAGTGTAGGAACCCTAGGACTCCCCACCCATGCTCCTCAGAGCTACACAGGGAACCAAATAGTAGGTATTCATTGGCTCAGAGCAGTTAGTAGGATACCTGTGGGAAGAAGCAGCAAGGTGTATCCTGTTTCTAACCAAACAAACATGGGGCACACAAACATCTCAGAGTGATGGGCTCAGGCTGGCTCATGTGTTGGTTACTACATCACATGTCTTAATCTAACCAGGTATGTATTGAGGCTTCATTCTCCACATTAGTCAGTACTAGAGAGAAGGTGGCATGAGATAACTCACTTGCCTGGTTAGGGCATGGCTTTGAAGTTAGAGAGATTTAGGTTCAAATCCTGCTTCCACCACTTAACAGCTAGATGATCTGGCCACATTTTGTAACCTTCTTGCTTCAGTCTCAAAAGGTACGATAAATCTGATTTCTTACGGTTGTAGAGAATGTTAAATGAATTGATATCTGTATAGAGTACTTGACACAGTAGCTACACATAGTAAGTAATGAATAAATGTAGTTCTATATTATTTTTGAGCTAACAGTTCAGTGGGAAGACAGTATTTATTCTCACAAACTCAGTTGCATAAAAATAGGCATTAAATAACATACAGCTCAGCACGAAAAACAAGGTATAACAGATGTTTTGATAACTATGAATCCTCTTCACAGAAAAAAATATATAGGCACATGCTCCAAAATTTGCATGTAGTTTTAGGCCATTGGTGCACAGTTCCCCAGCCCCCTCCCTTACCCTCTCCTGCCCATTTCATGCATGGCCAGCCCTTCAGGAGTCCTTGAACCCCTGAGCTGTATAAGTATGTAGCAGAAATTCATGAAGGGAATGTATTGCTGTAATCAAATAGGCCTACCTTGAGGGAGGCAAAAATGTAAACTAGGACCTAAAAAAAGGAGATAATTTAACTAGGCCAAGAAATGCACGAATAGAATCTGAGCAGAAGCTCACAAGTAGAACTGTAATCACAGCCTGAGGGCAGGAAGTGGGGCGGCATTCCCCACCTCCACAGCACTATAGCAGTATAGCAGTAGAGCTCCTGGGCGGCTGGGGCTCTAAAACCAGCTCACCTGGTACCACATCCTAGCCATGCACCTCACTAGCTGTTTGACACTAGGCACGTATTTCTCTGTTCCTCCGTGTCTTCATTGAAAACAGGGATGAAAATAAAACCTGCTACACAGGGTAGGGTCATTGTGAGATTCAGTAGGAGAATATATATTGCCCATGGTTGGTGTTAGCTTGACGTCTGGCATATATAGTAAGCTCTCTGTGGAAATAAGCTTCTTTCATGATTAGGATTGTTTTTTTTTTTTCATGATGGCAGAAACAGACGAGATTTTTGCGCCAAGCTAAGCCCTTTGGATGTTTCCTGGATAGTCCCAGGGAGCATAGACAGGAATAAGCTGAAAGTGGAACTACTGGAAGTGGAACTATGTTTGTGCATCATGGTCAGGGTCGATGAGATTGGAGTAAGATTAGGGCAAGAGTGCTGATACCAGGCTGATGCAGTACCCCTTGACCTGAGAGGCAAGGAGCAAGACTCAGGAAATAGAAGTTGGGATTTGTCAAGGTAAGATTCAAGAGGATTTGGAAAGTGCCTGAGTCCAGGGTCACACTGTCCAATAAGGCAGCTCCTGTTATGTCCGGTCAGGCACCATCACTGCAGGCACTTGCATGTGGCGAGTCTGGGCAGGGCTGTTCTGCAAGTGTGGACATACAGCAGGCTTCAGAGATTTACCGCAAGAAGAGAGAAACTATCTCCGTCATTGTTAGGCCAGCTTCATGGCATGGTGGTTAAGGCAGCTGGATCCCACACGGCCATCCACACAGTTCAAGTCCTGTACCTGGCAGCTTGAGAAATGCACCAGGAGTATCTGAGTGCCTGCCCAAGATCCCTACTGGATGGAGAAATGAAGGAAAAGGGATGGTGGTTTAACCATTCCCCATTGGAGTGCTTTCTCCTCTCCCTTTCTCTCTCTCTGTCTTTCTAGCATATGCACATGCCTGATGGCACCAAAAACTAAGTCAATTTTCTTTACATTGGGCTAAATAAAATACATTAAAATGTATTTTACTCTTCTCTTCTCTTCTTCTTCTTCCTCCTCCTCCTCCTCCTTCTCTCTCTCTCTCTCTTTGTAGCTACCAAAAAAGTAAGAATAACACATGTAGCTCACATTTCTATGGGACAACCCTTGGTCTAAGGAATTAGGAGGGCCAAGGTGACAGAATGCTTCAATGACCAGGTTAATGATGATGTCATTCCTAGAAAAAGGACTTTGGAAAGGCTTGGGGCAGACAGAGACTTTCACTGGGTTGTACTTGCTTTGACTTTGAAGCAACTATGGGCCATTCAAGTGTAAATTTACATGGACTGTCATTCAGACTTTGGAATTTAGGTAAAAGGTCAGGGCTATATATGAAATGCTTTGGTCATGGTAAAGTCAGATGGTGTAGAGAGCATTATCTGCCTTTCCTGAGGACCAGGGAGTGCCAGGCAAGTGGTGAGCAATTCTCTCTTCATCCTGGTGATACCCTTTGACGGAGGCACTGTTGTTACTTCTTCCCATTTTACACATGAGGAGACTGAGGCTCAGAGAGTAAAGCAACCAAGGCCAGTAAGTGATGAGCCAGATCTGAGTTTACCTGAACACGAAAGCTCTTGTTCACTCTGCTGCATCCAAGTTTCAGGACTGAGCCATCGAGAATACCAAGTCAAAAGAAGCAACAAGAGTGACCAGCAGATGGTGTGAGGGTTACATTGCTGAGCTCCCATGTAGTTGACCACAGTTTGAGTCCTAGACCTGGCAGCCTAAAACTTATGCCGGGCACTTGTGTGTGCATGCCCAAAATCCCAAGATGAAATTGGAGGAGAAGGGATTGGAGTGTGGCCATCCCCCCAGGGGGTGGTTTCTCGCTTTCTGTCTCTCCAGTGAGCACATGCATTCTGTAGCAAGAATCTCTTAAAATAATAATAATAATGATAATGATAATTTTAAAAGAAGATGGAACAAGAGTATAGCAGGGGCAAGAAAAGGACAATGTAGTTTATCACTGATGCTAAGGAGAAGACCCTTTCCAAAAAGAAGTGTCTATTAAGAAAAAAAACTTGTGTAACATGTTAAATGTGAAAGCTAATTCAAGCTGAGAGAGGCTTGATCTTGTATATTAAAGTCATTAAACGCAGTTGGGAGGAGCAGCAGGTGGCATGGCGGTTAGAGCACTGGACTCCAATGTGGCTAACCCAGGTTAAAGGCCCAGATGGACCGGCCTTGAAACTCACACCAGGCCGCAGTGTCTGTGCATGCCCAAAATCTCAAGAGAAAAAAGGAGGAGAAGGGATTGCAACATGGCCATCCACCTTTTTCTCTGTTTCTCCAGCAAGTACACACACCTATAGCAAAAATCTCTCTCCAAAAAAAAAAAAGGAGTTAGAATTGTTTGGGACTTGTTCAGGGCTTTCAAACATTAAGCATAAATAGAGAGTGACATTCTTTTACATTGACGTGTTTTAATTACTGGACAGAAATACAAAGGTTACTTCAAAAATTTTGTGGAAAAATGGAATTAAAGTATGAGCTTATTTGGTACAAACAGGAAAATATGAGATCTATGCATTTTTTTTATACTACATATTTTCTATGAACTTTTCAAAGGTACTTCTCATAAACTTGGGCAGGACCCTGATCATCATCATCAGTGTTTCTCAGGAGAATCTGTGTCAGAACCACCTAGGAAGCTTTTAGATACAGATTCCTGGGCCCGGCCCCAGGCCTACTAACTCGGATTTTTTAAAACAAGTTCCCCAGGTGTCCTACACACTGTGAAGTTAGGAACTCGCTGTCCAGGCTCTGCAGCCCGTGCGCCTCTGGATTTATTACCCAGCATTGGCTCACTCTCGTGGCTCCCTGCCAGCCTCTCTTGGGCACCACAGTTCAAGTCCTGTACCTGGCAGCTTGAGAAATGCACCAGGAGTATCTGAGTGCCTGCCCAAGATCCCTACTGGATGGAGAAATGAAGGAAAAGGGATGGTGGTTTAACCATTCCCCATTGGAGTGCTTTCTCCTCTCCCTTTCTCTCTCTCTGTCTTTCTAGCATATGCACATGCCTGATGGCACCAAAAACTAAGTCAATTTTCTTTACATTGGGCTAAATAAAATACATTAAAATGTATTTTACTCTTCTCTTCTCTTCTTCTTCTTCCTCCTCCTCCTCCTCCTTCTCTCTCTCTCTCTCTTTGTAGCTACCAAAAAAGTAAGAATAACACATGTAGCTCACATTTCTATGGGACAACCCTTGGTCTAAGGAATTAGGAGGGCCAAGGTGACAGAATGCTTCAATGACCAGGTTAATGATGATGTCATTCCTAGAAAAAGGACTTTGGAAAGGCTTGGGGCAGACAGAGACTTTCACTGGGTTGTACTTGCTTTGACTTTGAAGCAACTATGGGCCATTCAAGTGTAAATTTACATGGACTGTCATTCAGACTTTGGAATTTAGGTAAAAGGTCAGGGCTATATATGAAATGCTTTGGTCATGGTAAAGTCAGATGGTGTAGAGAGCATTATCTGCCTTTCCTGAGGACCAGGGAGTGCCAGGCAAGTGGTGAGCAATTCTCTCTTCATCCTGGTGATACCCTTTGACGGAGGCACTGTTGTTACTTCTTCCCATTTTACACATGAGGAGACTGAGGCTCAGAGAGTAAAGCAACCAAGGCCAGTAAGTGATGAGCCAGATCTGAGTTTACCTGAACACGAAAGCTCTTGTTCACTCTGCTGCATCCAAGTTTCAGGACTGAGCCATCGAGAATACCAAGTCAAAAGAAGCAACAAGAGTGACCAGCAGATGGTGTGAGGGTTACATTGCTGAGCTCCCATGTAGTTGACCACAGTTTGAGTCCTAGACCTGGCAGCCTAAAACTTATGCCGGGCACTTGTGTGTGCATGCCCAAAATCCCACGATGAAATTGGAGGAGAAGGGATTGGAGAGAAGGGATTGGAGTGTGGCCATCCCCCCAGGGGGTGGTTTCTCGCTTTCTGTCTCTCCAGTGAGCACATGCATTCTGTAGCAAGAATCTCTTAAAATAATAATAATAATGATAATGATAATTTTAAAAGAAGATGGAACAAGAGTATAGCAGGGGCAAGAAAAGGACAATGTAGTTTATCACTGATGCTAAGGAGAAGACCCTTTCCAAAAAGAAGTGTCTATTAAGAAAAAAAACTTGTGTAACATGTTAAATGTGAAAGCTAATTCAAGCTGAGAGAGGCTTGATCTTGTATATTAAAGTCATTAAACGCAGTTGGGAGGAGCAGCAGGTGGCATGGCGGTTAGAGCACTGGACTCCAATGTGGCTAACCCAGGTTAAAGGCCCAGATGGACCGGCCTTGAAACTCACACCAGGCCGCAGTGTCTGTGCATGCCCAAAATCTCAAGAGAAAAAAGGAGGAGAAGGGATTGCAACATGGCCATCCACCTTTTTCTCTGTTTCTCCAGCAAGTACACACACCTATAGCAAAAATCTCTCTCCAAAAAAAAAAAAGGAGTTAGAATTGTTTGGGACTTGTTCAGGGCTTTCAAACATTAAGCATAAATAGAGAGTGACATTCTTTTACATTGACGTGTTTTAATTACTGGACAGAAATACAAAGGTTACTTCAAAAATTTTGTGGAAAAATGGAATTAAAGTATGAGCTTATTTGGTACAAACAGGAAAATATGAGATCTATGCATTTTTTTTATACTACATATTTTCTATGAACTTTTCAAAGGTACTTCTCATAAACTTGGGCAGGACCCTGATCATCATCATCAGTGTTTCTCAGGAGAATCTGTGTCAGAACCACCTAGGAAGCTTTTAGATACAGATTCCTGGGCCCGGCCCCAGGCCTACTAACTCGGATTTTTTAAAACAAGTTCCCCAGGTGTCCTACACACTGTGAAGTTAGGAACTCGCTGTCCAGGCTCTGCAGCCCGTGCGCCTCTGGATTTATTACCCAGCATTGGCTCACTCTCGTGGCTCCCTGCCAGCCTCTCTAGGGCACAGGAGGCTAATGGGATCATCTTGTGTCTTTAGCAATAACCTTACCTAGAATCTGGGGCAGTCATTCTTTAAATAAGAACAACCAGTTCTCCTTCACTGAGGTCTCATCCCGAGGCCACTTACCGCCACACTTGTACTGGCATTGCAGTGGTGACCACCTACCTGAACAAGCAGCAGCCACACGTGAAAGCCAGCGTCTCCTTTTCTTTCACCGTTGCTTCTAGCTGACACATGCCCCTCCTTTTCCTTGCATTCTGGCTGCTCAGAGGCAAGCTCTATATGGTAGTAAAACTGTGATCTTGGGAGTCTGCCCTGAGTCCCATCTCTGCCATGTAAGCCTGTGTGATCTCAGGCACGAATTTTTCTAATGTCTCTGTACTTCATCTGTAAAGCCAAAATGATAAAAGGATTTACTTCTTAGCATTGTTGAGAAGAGTAAATGCAATAGTACGTGGAATTTACTTACCTGCACAGACTAAGTCCTCAGTAAATGGTGGTGGTGTCAAAATTTATCATTATAACTTATTATCCAGGGACATGCGCTTTGAGTGGCAGGTAAAAAATCAGCTACTGATTTACCAGATAAAACTTAAAGGATTTTCAAGTCTAAAGGCATGCTACTTTTACAGGCAAGATGAGCTCTGGTGAGGTCTTCAGAGAGCTGTTTTCATTCTTTCTTCTGCCAATTCTGCACCCATATCAATTTCTCTTGAAAGAGCTGTAAACACTGCCTCTTCCAATCCATGTGTTCCACTTCTGTGCAGCCTTTGCTGTCCTCTCCTCTGTCACTTTCCTCCCCTGTAAGCTAAGAGCATGTTCTTCTTGCCCTTTGCCCTCAGAACACTGCAAGAGCAGGGCAGGACTTTCGGCTGGCGCAGGGTTCTGCTGCTCTTGGCCTTGTGGACTGCAGCTTTGGTTCAGGAGGAGAGAGAATTTTACATCCTCTTCCTCCCTCCTTTCAAGTCTTAAGAGTTTGGGGTGTTTAGCACTGGTGGTAATCATAGAAAGCATAGCTCCTGTTCTTGAGTTATTTACAGTTTACAAAATGTGTCACAGAGAGTGCTCTTGGCAGTTTTAGCAGAACGGGCTTTAATACAGGGAACTGGGTGCTTCTGTCACCACTGGACGTTCTGGATGAACAGGTTCTCCGTAGGAAGGACTCCCAGCCACTGAGCTGGCCACCAGGCCAGAACAAAGTGCAGCACTGGGAAGCCACTGCAGCCGACAGCTTCTCAGCACCAAGTAGCTTGTGACTGGACCCTGGATGCCCAACCCACCTCCACTAGGAGTGACTTGCCCCTTCCCCTGCTTCTCAGCGGAAGTCAGCCAAGCAGCAAAAAACTTCTCACTGCCACCTGCCAGATGCCTCCTGAATGCAGTGAACTGGCTGAGCCTGCAGCATCCAGAGTTCCTAAGAAGAGAACCTGGGTGTGCTAGTTTTCTTGAAATGTCCTAACAAATTACTGTAGATTAGGAGGCATCAAGTGTGAGATTGATTTTTCTCATGTTTCTGGAGGCTGTATCAGGTCAAATTATGGGCAGGGTTGGTTTCTTCTGAGGGCAAATAACTGTCTCCATGTAGTCTTCCCTTAGTTCTACTGTGTTAATTTATCTAAATTTCCCCTTCTTAATAAGGACATTTGTATTATATTGGGGCCCACCATAATGACCTCATATTAACCTAATCACCTCTTTAAAGGTTCTATCTCCAATATAGTCACATTCCGAGGTAGGATTTCAACATACGAACTGAAGTGGGAGTGGGGAGAAAAGAAGCACAATTCAACCTTAACGCTGGGAGATGTCGGGGTTTTTTTTGTTTTTTTGTTTGTTTGGTTTTTTTGCTTTCTAACCCCACAGTTCAGGGAGGCACCCCTTGGAGGAGGGTCCAACTGCTGGCTAGAACCAGTCCATCTGGGACTGCAAAGTGCTTAGTGTACTTCATGCAGAATATGATAAGAAAGTTCTCAGAAAAAGTATTCTTTATATTTATTATACTCACATGCTTATTTTATCTGATGCTTTTAACAGTCCTTTGAGATAGGAAAGAATTATTATCCCCATTTTTCCCATGAGAAAATTGAGGCTTAAATAGGTTACAACTCCTGCCCAGGTTCTTAGCACTAGGAAGTGACAGGAGCAGGAGTGGACCCAAAGACCCTTGGCTAATCCTGCATGTGTTTCTGGAACGAATATTCAAGGCATAGTCTACAGTCAGTGTCATAAGTTCAAACAAAGGGAGGGCCCTGATAGGTGCACCAGCAAATGTTAAAGGGGCAGCCGCTATTCAAAGCCAGCTCACTTTTGTAGGATTTTCTGATTTTTCCAGAAGTCTTCCCTTTAAAATAAAATCTTACCACTTTTCGAATGTCAGCTATCAGTTTAAACTCAACACACATACAAACATACACACGTACCAAGTTAATGTCATGTGGAGCCCCACCAAACACATCTGCAGTCTGGATTTAGCCTACATGTTCTGATATAAATAAGAAACTTCTAGGAAAATAGAAAAACTATTCTTTTTTAAGGTTTTGTCATGTTTTTCCCATATAAAAGAGAAAAAGAAACAATAACTCCCATAGGATCTTAACACTAAGATGCACCCCAGGCAGCCCTGGATCATGGATATAGTGAGTGCCCACCATACTCAGGAAGATCTCTAGACACAAACCCAGAACCTTCCCATGTGGGTCAGTCTCTCAGGGCCTTGCATTTCACCACTATGCCACTCTCCAGCCCCCAAAAAAGTATTCTTAAGAATCTGAGTGCACTCCTTGCAATCTTTCTAAGGCATTATTAGAAAGCTATCATCGGAACCAGCAGATGGCATAATGGCTATGTTGCTGGACACTCCTGTAGTCGACCGTGGTTCAAGTCCCAGACCCGGTGGCTTAAACTCAGTCTGGGCGTGTATGTGCATGTGCCAAGATCCCGAGAAGAGAAAGGATTGTGGCATGGCTATCCCCCCCGGGGGGTGATTTCTCACGTTCTCTCTCTCTGTCTGTCTCTTTCTGGTGAGCTCATGTTCCCTATAGCAAAAACCTCTCAAAATAAAATAAAATAAAATAAAAGCTATTGCCACCTGGCCACTCAGCCCATTACCTTGAAATGCCTCTGTTGCTGTCCTAAATCTTTCTCTCACTTCCCACCAAATGCATATTTGGCTAATGAGTCCAGGGGCCAGCATTTAGTAAATATTTGTATGTACAGAGTGCATTACTCAAAGGTGTGTACTTCTCTTTGAGATAAGTATTGTTGTACCCCTTATACAGATGAGGGGACAGGCAAAGAGCTGGACTAAGACACTGAAGGCTGAAGGCATAATGAAAGGGTAAATGCAAGCTGGTAGCTTTTTTGTTTTTTTTTAACCTGCTTTTTATTACAGCCACAAGGAGTGTGTGGGCTCTTGAAAGCTGGCTTTACTCCAGTGATTCAGTAACTGGCCCTGTCACGATGCCTTGTGATTCAGACCCTGGGCATCCTGGTGCCTTCCTCCCAGAGTGTGCCCTGTGGCATTCTTTCCTTCCCTACCCACCTCCCCCTGCGTCAGGCCACTCTTGACAAAAGTTAAAATGCCCATGTTTTCCTAATGCGATATTTATTTCTGAGGAATTTCTAGGAACTTGAGAATTTAGATGAGCCATAGCATTAAGACCAATGCAAATTATTTGAATAGTGAAATGCTACATATATTTATTCAACTCTATTACCTATATGTAGGGATGAAAGCAAGGTCACAGAAGCGATAGCCAGAGCATTATCAGACCTGCAGTCTGCACAGCCAGGCTGGCTCAGCCTCTCTGGGCGGGATGAAATACCTGTGGCTCAGGATCTCCAGATACCGACTTCAGTTCCTGCCTAGGGGTGACCAGCAGAACTCTTCTTGATTGGCTTGTGTCAGAGGGGAAGCCTGCTCTCCGGATACAAGATAGACAAATGCTATCTAACACCCTAACCTGAAGGGGTGTTACATAAACACAGCAATCTGCAAGCCCCCGACTCTAGGTCTTGGAATGGCAAAGTCACTCCTGATTAAGAACCACCTTGTGCAATGTTCATGGTTGCCCTAAATGTGTGTGAATCAAATGAATTGGAATTGCATCCTTTCTTTGGTGCACATCGGAAAGGTGCCTTTGGTAGTGAAAGGCTTACAAGCTGGTTCAAGGCTCATGAGCTGGGTGAACCTGAAGTATGTTTTTCTAATGCCAGTTGCCCCATCTGTAAGACAAGAATGAATAGCAATATACCTTTTAGGATTATTTTTGAGACTTCATGAAATAATACGTATGAAAGCAACTTGTACGTGTTCTAAGATTCCATACAAATATCAGGTGTTATTGGCCTTGGAAGCTATTGTTGGTGTAAAAAGCAAGCTTTTTATCCACTTAGTAGCACACATAGCCAGATAATGCCCATCATTGACAAGAGACCAAGAAAATCTACTAAAAAAAAAAAAAAAAAGAAAAGAAAAGCTACTGAAGGTGCCGAGCCGTCTGGAGATACTCGTTTCCCCAGTTTTCCTGTCTCTTCTGCCCTGGTCCGGCTGCTGAGGCGGTGCAAAGCAGGTGCTAGTAGGAAGGCAGTCCTCCGCCAGACCTCCAGATCCTGTGGGCATCTCCCACCATGAAGGAGCAGTGGGCTTCCTTGAGTAGACAGAGGGCAACTCGGTTTCCTTGAAGAGCCTCCTTTACAGGAAATGATATAATTTTGATTTGGTTTCTCCCTAGGAAGAGCTTTATAATCAGAGATCATATTCTTTTTCCATGATCCAATGTACAACTTTTTCTAGAAATGACCATAAATATCCCATGTAATTGACTGCCCAAAGCTATTGCGATGCAGTATTCACTAGAAAGTTGCTTGTGTTTAATAAATCAGCAAAGCTGTTAACTTTAGTTTCCTGAATGGTGTTGTCCTGCAGAGGGGAAAGGACAGAAGGGACTTTTAGAAGAGAGATTGTATTTGAGTTAGAAGCCTGATGGGTGGTAGAGCAGGAGGAGGGATAAGCTTCCTCTGAAGCCAGAGAGGAAAGTATCTGATTACGTTCTAAATGTTATCTCTGCACGGGCAGGAAATATCTGTCCTACCCATTTATTCTCAACACATCGCACCTAGTACCAGTAGCACCCAATTGAAAATGAATTGTGTGGACTTTGTAGAGCCTGAGACCTGCAAGATTCACCGAGGGAGGAGAGCAGGGAGCCATGCAAGTAGTGAGGAAGGGGATACCCTGCAAAAGAGCAGGTTAGGACACAGAACAAGGGAAAGCTGCAAGTAAGCCCGAGCTGAGTGGTGTGCATTGTGAACTGTTAGCTGTTTTTAATCCTGACTGTGTGATAGTCAGGAAGTAAAAAGGCCTCCATGTACTAGATGCCCAGTTTCTCACCAGTTTTAGAGAGACCTCCAGAACATGTTATAAATAGAGCCTGACTTTGGACTATTTGCTTATGGGCACGTGGGTGAGAGCAATGACTGATCAAGTCCTGATACACGTGAACTGTTCTGCAGTTACAGGAAAACTCGCTCAGGCCTTGGAAACTTTATGCCCTGGAGGTTGAGAAGAGAGAATGCTTGGTATTATTCTCACGAGAAGGGAACATTTAGAAAATCCTTAGGGTGCAGCGTGGAAACCACAAGCCACTCAGAAAGGGTGTCATGTTCGCATTCTGGAGGCTAGGGAGCCTCAGTACCCATGCCAGCTGGAAGGAGAACCCAGTTTAATGTGCTGCAGGGAACAAAACATGTAACCAGCTTGCTGTGAATCAGGCCATGCACACTGCAGGGTGAGGTTGTCCACTGCCTCAGTTGCCTTTCAAACATTCTGTCAGTAAGCACTGGCTTGGGAGGACAGAAAGAGACTAAACCAGACCACTGGGTGTGAGCAGAATCAAAACAGAGGACACCCTCAGCTCTCCTCTGGGCAAGGCAGAATAGGAATCCAAGGAAGAGGCAGCCATCCTGATTGGGTTGAAATAAGGTCACCCAAGTCCAAGGCCTAGGACAGGCCACCCTGCCCTGCCCCACCCCATGCTTCCTCCTCCCAGTATCTGGTGTTGCTAGGGCTTCCTTACTCCCGAGGGAATCCTCTGTTGCCTGTGGCCAGCCTAGTCCTTCCTTCTGTCCTGACAGGAGCGTGTAGAGAATGGCCTAGAAATGCAGTAAAAAGGGCTGATACCCATAGCCCCACCCAGATCCTGACAGTAAACACCCTGAGGCTCATCAGCCAGGTGGGATAACAAACAGCTAAACAGAGTGGCCTCAGGATAAAATCATAGCAGCAGCAGTTAGGAAATGCCTTGGTCCTGTGTTAAACCCTCCGTAGGAGTCAAGAATTAACTCTCCCCATTCTGTCCCCCCAAAAAACCTTCCTAGTAGATTTTTTTCTACCCACCATGGGCTCACCGCAGTGAAGGAACAGTTTCACCCTAGTTAAATTCTACTAGTCAATGGCAAAGGCAGGGTCCAAACCCAGGAATGTGAAGCTTGCTGATTAGGCTGATTTCCAGATTCTGCACACAGTTAAGAAGCACAGTGTTGTTGGTGCATTTAGCCCAAAGCGTCCTGACTTCTGAGGACATGAGCCCTCGCCAGGTTTTTGAACTCAGCCATTAGGAGCATTCTGAGCGTCATGGGACTCAGCATGGAGCACCGTGGTGCCCGCGTGGTACACACTGTGGAGCCTCTAAGTTGCTGAGATCTTTGCAGCCTTGTCTTATGTAAACCTTATGGCAAGATTGCTTTGTGCAACTGCAGCCTCTCCTGAAGGTTGAGTCAGCCTGGTTTGGTGCTGGCGCCACGGTGTCCTAAGACTGCTGAGCTCTTGCATAGCGCCGGGGAGGCACACCTGTCCACCTGCTCCCATGAGTCATAAAACTGCCACACAGCTGCCAGGTCTGCCAGCTCCACATTTTCCTCTAGTTGCCACCATGCAGAGAGGGAACTTAGCCATATATGGCAGGAGCACCAGGCAGTGCTTCCGCCCAGGACTGTCTGCTTTATGAAATGCACCCTCCTCAACCAGACAGGTCAAAGCTCAGAGCCAGGGTGTTTCTGTTGCTTTATACCATGTGGCTGGGAAGAGAGGGCTGCAGGGGAGCCCAAATCCAAAATCCGAGGCCAGAGAAAAAAAACAACCCACGAGCATAAGATGGAGTAACAGGACTAGCGGGTTCCCTGGGATGAGGTCCAGGAGGGGTCAAAGAAGGGATTGATAAGGTTTTAGCAATCATTTCAGGCTGTAAGCTACTTGTGTATCTTGTTCAGCATTGTGAATCTATCACTGAGAGTCTCTAAACTGAAAAGCCCTACTTTTTCCCTTTTTAACCTGACATTCTCAAAACCACTGCATATCTTTTTTTGTTTTTTGGAGAGGTTTTGCTATAGGGCGCATGCGCTCGCTAGAAAGACAGAGAGAGAAAGAGAGACAGAAAGTGAGAAATCATCCCCCAGGAGGTATGGCCACGCCACAATCCCTTCTCCTCCTTTCTCTCAGGATCTTGGGCATGCACGCACATGCGCCCAGCGTGAGTTTAAGCCACCAGGTCTGGGACTCGAACTGCAGTCAACTACATGGGAGTCCAGCGACATAGCCTTTACACTAACTGCTGGTCCCACCGCTGCATACCTTAATAACACTTAAAATGCACCCTATCTACAAAGTTCTCTAGTACAGTTCTCTCTCCTCATTTTCTATTGCCAGGACTCACACCAGCCCAATAGTTGGCTAAGAGAGTTCAAAAGAAAAAAAATCTGACCTTCTATTAAAGCAGGTAACAGTGACATTAAACCGATGTGTAATATGGCCTCTGGTGGCAAATGCTCACTTTTGCTGGAGGCCCCCGACAACCGTACTTGTTCGTAGATACCTGCTTCCTCTTATACGATCCTAGAAAAGGGTACTTTTATGCAGTATGTTGGGGTGCACTGATTAAACTGCTAGTGCTGGGCTTTCACAAAAAGATTTATGGAAGTACACAAATTGACAACAAGCTTAAGACACCTAGGCCACCCACTGACATTGCTGAGGGACATTTTAGTAACTACCTACAAGGAGCTGTAGGACAGGACACATGTATCCATTTCCCTTCAAGTTATACAAATTATTATAAATGTTGAAATAACTAGAAGAGGACTATTGTTCACCTTAACAATGCTTTAGATTTCAGGTAAAAACAGCCATCAAAGATGTCCAGCAAGACAGCAAGCACCAACAACATAGCCCAGGCCCGAAGGACTGTGCAGCAGTTAAGATTAGAAGCTTCCATTGAAAGAATAAAGGTAAGGAATCTGGATTAGATTCAATGTACTTCCCTTCCAGTTCCCAGTGCCCTTTGAAGGCTGGGTCCCAGGTCAGAGAAAAATGCCATTTAATTCAGCTTGCTTCCAGGATTTTTCCTAGAGCAAGCTTGAGAGTCTTAGAATCTTGGACCAGCAGTTAGCATAATGGCTATGTTGCTGACCTCCCATGTAGCTGACTGCAGTTTGAGCCCCAGACCCGGTGGCTTAAACTCACTCTGGGCGCGTGTGCATGCGTGCCCAAGATCCCGAGAGGAGAATGGAGGAGGAGGGATTGTGGCGTGGCCATCCCCCGTGGGGGGTGATTTCTCACTTTCTATCTCTCTGTCTTTCTGGTGAGCACATGTGCCCTATGGGGGAGGGGAACAAACTCTCAAAAAAAAAAAAAGAATCTTAACTTTCATTTTCTACACAGCACAGGACTCATTTCAAAAGGGCTGTAGAGCCAAAGCATCTGAGTGAGCCTGTAAATCTCTGGACAGGATTTCCTAAGGACCCACCTTCCCTGAATGAACATGGTCAAGACCTATGATCTTGTGTTCTAAATGGAGATGGGGTTCCAGGTGGACTTCATAAACACCCTTGTCATCCCTCTGGAATTTACTAAGTGTTCTAGAGTTATCAGTGCAGCTGAGGTAGCCTTGCATAACAAGTCAACAGTCGGGGACTCCTTTATTAGGAAAATGAAACTTTTTAAACTTGTGTGGCCTTAAGTGACCACTTTCAACACCCGGATGCGTTCTGCTAGCTTCAGCTGAGATCCCATAGAGAACCAGAACACATTGCTTAGGTCACCTGTCTTTGGCGCTTTTTTTTTCTCTCCACATCCCAAGAAAGGACCAGGCAATGAGTGTCTTGGAATGTTGTGACCGTTGCTATTTCCTAGAGAGGGAAGCAGTCACCTGACAGATTCCTCCGGGCCTGGAGATAGTCACCAGCCCTCAAAGCCTGAGGCTGCCTGTGCTGAACTCACTGGGCTTGACTGCTCTG